AGTCAAATCGCGAGGTTCAATAACTAAACCTAATAGAAGCACCTGAAAAATATTGCATTTTCTTAGCATTTATAATTTAGGACAGTTGACAGCATTTCGTGCTGCAGAAGGTTCTGACCATCTCGCTGTGAATCTCTTGAATTGCTTTGGGGATCGAAAACTCAGCTGGAATGGTCCTTTATGTACTTTCCTTGGGCGTGCTTGCACTTCAGATGATGTCTTTTTTTTCTTCCTCAGACCTGAAAAAGAATGGTTTATTATGAAAATGCTGAAGACATTGCACTTGTTTTTGGTCATAAGTGATTTAAGTTGATTTACGTACAATTTTGTGAAACCTTTTGTGTAATATCGTAGGCCCAATGGTCTTGAGCTGCTTCATCAATGACCTTCCCTTTATCGTATGGTCAAAAGTGTGCAGTCATTGGCAAACATACCCAATGTTCGGTACCATTGGCGACTCCTCCGATACTGAAATAGTCCATGTCCAAAGGCAGCAAGGTCTGGAAAATATTCGGGCTTGGGCTGACAAGTGGCAAGTAACCTTCATGCCGCACAAATGCCAGGCAATAACCATCTCCAATAAGAGACAGTCCGATCACTGCCCTGTGACATTGGAATGGTGTTGCCATCACTGAATCCCTGGGGACCACTGACCAGAAACTGAACTGGACTAGTCATATAAATACAGTGGCTACAAGAGCAGGTCAGAGGCTAGGAATACCACAGCGAGTAACTCGCCACCAGACTTCCCAAAACCTGTCCACCATCTACAAAGCACAAGTTGGCAATGTGATGAAATATTCCCCACTTGCCTGAATGGGTGCAAGCTCCAATAACGCTCAAAAAGCTTGACACCATCCAGGACAAAGCAACCCACTTGATTGGTAACACATCCACAAGCATCCGCTCCCTCCACCACCAATGCTGTGTAGCAGCCGTGTGTACTGCCAACAAAATGCACTGCAGAAATTCATAAAAGATCCTTGGACAGCACCTTATAAACCCACAGGCAGGTACCATCTAGAAGGACAAGGACAAGGACAATAGATACATAGGAACACCACCACTTGCAAGTTCCCCTCCATGCCACACTTTCGTTCCTGACTTGGAAGCATGTACCATCCCTTCAATGACGCTGGATCAAAATCCTGGAATTCCCTCCATACTGGCATTGTGGGTCTATCTACAGCACTTCAAGAAGGCAACTCCCCACCATCTTATGTTGGGCAACGAGGGATGGACAATAAATGCTGACACAGCCAGCAATGCTCATATTCCATGAGTGAATTTTAAAACAAAAAAATTCTGTTCTATATACTCTTATTGCATCGTGTTTCACACAATTTTGAAGGATGATAGAGCAGTTGACGTAGTTTATACTGTAGGATAATATATCTGTGTAATTAAATCTATTGCCTTATTTCTTTCTGAACCTTGGATTGGAGGTATTGGTTTTTGGCTTTTCAGATACCACATCAAGATCTCTGGATCAACTGCAGATGCTGTTAAGTAAGAGTTTCACATTCTGTAACAATATGTATTTAACTGCTGCTGTGGCTTGTCACTCTCATACACTGTAAGGCAGTTTACTTGGAGCAATCAAGCTGTTCCATTCAAATGCAAATACACTTTACAATTGATTCAGATATATGTACCAAACCTTATGAGTCAAGCAAAAAATTCCTTAAAATCTACCTGCCTCGAGTACTATTTTAGCCTAAAGAGAAGGTTTGCTTTAGGGCCTTTTGAAGGAAAGTATCAAATAATAGCCAGGGGACACATCATCTTTGTTGGTATGTCCTCCTAGTGCCAACAGAGATTAACTTTTGTGATTACGAGATGTTTCCGATCATTACTCACTTACGCTAGCATAATTTTATGAATTTAAGACCGAAAGAGGTCTGTTGTAGTGCTCTGCTTTTGAAGATAATCTAATTGACTAGCATGATGCAACCAGTGACTAAAGTAAACTAAAAATAAGAGCTGTCTGCTCCTAGTAAATAATGGTTTAATTTTAATTGGATATATATTACTGCCCTTTCATCATCACTCGGTCAAAATGCTGACTGTTGCTACTTGATTCCACCACCATGGATTTCAGTGGTTCAAGGAGGTCGTGGTAGGGCATTTTGGGGTGGCCAATAAATACTCCTTGGCAGCGATGCCCAAATCCCTTGATTTAAAAGAAATGTGTTATGTTATCATCAATTTTAGGTTTGTGAACTTGGGTTTCTTTGACCGCTCAGCATTGCTTATGTCCCCTAAATCCTAATGTGCCTCCTTTTTAGTTCTTAATCAAGGTAAATTATGAAGCCCTTTCTCTGTAAACTAGCCCTGGAAATGACTTGTGTGCTGCCAACAGTTCTGCTATCTTAACAAGTAGATTTGTTTCTGTATCATATCAAATCAAATCCACAAAGTTTTGAAAGAATACATCATGTTATTTGTATCAGGCAACTGTATAATCTAATATACACACTTTTGTAGTAGGTTTTTTAAACCTATTTGCTTTATCTCTATACATTTTTAAAATGGAGGCCCATTTCTTATGTACTGATTTACAGAAATCTGGCTCAGCTACGTGGATGGTTGCTTTAATTTTTGTTTAAAAAGTGCTATAAAGGGGGTTTGTTACTGAGGTGAGTGAATGATAGGATTGTATACACACTCAATGAGGTGAAATTGTAATATTTCATATTCAACTATGTTTCTAGCAATTTTATCTCTGGTTGTCATGCGACAAATTTGTAATGATACAACCAATAGTCTGGAAACATGCCACGCACTAATGAGATCAGTAAAGCTGCATGGTAGTATCTGACGTAGTAACTGAGGTTAGGTAAATTGTAACTTTATTTTTATCTTGAAAGCATTGGGATTCAAATCCATCTACTTCAGATAATTGGGTGAATATTTTTGTGTAAGAAACCACAGACTGCAACAGGAGGACCTAATATTGATCTAAGCTGTCAAACTGCAGTGTTGAGTATGTCAATGGCCAAACAGTAGTGAGAACAAGTTTAGCATGTGTTCTGTGCAAAGTGGTAGCTGTGGGTACTATATTATTTTAATTCATTCAGGCAATGTAAGTGTTACTAGCTATCCCATTGTTTATTTCTCATCTCTAATTGCTCTTGAGAAGGTGGTGGTGATGAGCTGAGTTTTTGAACCACTGCAATATATTTGGTGCAGGTACATTCACAATGCCATTAGAGCACGCGTTCCAGGATTTCGACCCGTCACACTGGAGGAACGGGTGATATATTTCCAAGTCAGGGTGGGGAGTAGCTTGGGCTGTGGAAGGGGGACTTGCAGGTGGTGGTGTTCCCATGTATCTGTTGCCCTTGTCTTTAGTGGTCATATGTTTGGACGGTGCTGTCTAAGAAGCCTTGGTGAATTTCTGCAGTGTGTCTTGAAGATATATATACTGTTGCTACTGAGGAACAGTGGGTATTTATAGACTTCGTGTAAATCACGAATACTACTTTATCCTGGATAGTGTCAAGTGCTTGAGTATTGTTGGAGTACATCCATCCAGGCAAGTGGGGAGTATTCCAGCACACTCCTGATTTGTGCCTTGTAGCTGGTACACTGGCTTTGGGAGGTGAGGTACTTGGTACAGGGTTCCTAAAATGTCAGGGAGTGATGACTGACTAGATTCACAATAAAGATGGTCATTACCTGAGGAATGCTGCATTTTGATATTGACTGGGTCAGTATCTCGAGAGTTGTGATTGGTGCTGAACTTCGTGTAATCACCTGTGAACATCTCCACTTCTGACCTTATGATGGATGGAAGGTCGTCAGTGAAGCAGGAGAAGGTGGTTGGGCTTTGGATTCTGCTCTTAGGAACTCCTGTACAGATGTGTTGGAAATGAGTGACATCCAACAACCACAATCATTATGTTTTGTACCATCTATGACTCCAACACAGTTTTCCCTCGATTCCCATTGACTCCAGTTTTGCTAGTGCTCCTTGAAGGCTCACTGTGACAAATATGGCTTTAATGGCAAGGGCAATCCTTTTCACCTCCCTCTGGAATTCAGCTCTTCTGTGCATTTAAGGGCTAAGGCTATAATGAGGTCATAAGTTGATTAGCCTGGTGGGACCCAAACTGAACACGCACGAGCAAGTTATTGGGTAGCACTATTAATGACACCTTCCTTCACTTACTGCTGTTTTAAAAGTAGATTGATGGGACACTAATTGGCAAGGTTGGTCTCCTGTCCTGCTTTTTGTGTACAGGATATGGGCAATTTTCCACACTGGATAGGTGCCTATGTTGCAGCTTTGCTGGAAAAGCATGGCTAGGGGTATTGCTAGTTCTGGAATATGTGTCTTAAGTACTGTTGCTGGAGCATTGTCATGGCCTGTAGTCTTTCGATATCTAGTGCCTTAACAGACGTTTTCTTTTTAATAATGTGGAGTGAATGGAGATTGGCTGAAGACTTACTTTGAGATGCTGGGGACTCGAGAAGGCTGAAGTCGATTGCTCGACACTTCTGGCTGAAGACTTGCAAATTCTCCAGCCATATTTCCTCTTCAGCCTTATCTGATGTACTGAGCCTTCTCCAGAAATGGTTCACCACTGTTCACAACTAAATGTGGTGCAACCACAGAACTTACCTGATTTTAAGTTGGCTGTGGAATCACTTAATTCTATCTGTCACTTACTGCATATCCTCTTCAGTACGCCAGTTGTCCCATGTTGTAGCCTTCCTAGGTTGCTACACTGGTTGTAGGTATGCCTAGTTTTGCTCCTGATGGCATGTCCTCCTGCACTCTTCATTGAACCAGGGTTGATCCCCTGCCATGAGTTTGCAGATTGTGGTTGAGTACAGTTCTGCTCATGGCCCATGGTGCCTCATGGATATCCATTCTTGAGTTGCTAGTACTGTTCGAGGTCTGTGCCATTTTGTGCAGCAGTAGTCACACGGCATGAGGATGGGTAACCTCAATGTAAAAACAGAACTTTGTCTCCACAGGGACTGTAGGGTGGCCACTTTTTACCGATACTGTCTTCAACAGATGTGCCTGCAGCAGGCAGATCGATGAGGATGAGACCAACTATATTTCCCCTTCTGCTAGTTTCATCACTAACCATCACTGACCCAGTCTAGCAGCTCTGTCCTTCAGGGTGCAACCAACTCGGACAGCAATGGTCATGCAGAGTCACTCTTGGTGAGTGATGGGCTTTTGAAGAACCCCCTTCCCCCCCGCCCAAAAGTATGTTCTGTGCCCTTGTCAGCCTCAGTGGTTGCTGGGGGAGTACTGGACATGGAGCGCTGATTCAGCAGGTTGACTCCTTGCCTGGTGTTGGCCAGATGCTATGAGGTCAGAGGTTGAGGATTCGCAGAGCAACAACTTCCTGACTATATAGAACTGTACCACCCCCTGTGCTTGGTTTGTTCTGCCAGTGTGATAAGATATCCACAGGGATGATACAGCTATGTAAAAAGTGCTGTTGACTAGTCTGTGAGATACCGCTCCCACTTTTGGCACTAGAGGCTGACAGGACTGAGTTTACTGTTTTTCGGCCTTTTCTTGTGCCTAGTTTGATGCAAGGTGGTCTCATTCCTTTGAGACTTGTTTAGCAGTTTGATGCAACACAGCCTTGGATCTGGAGTTGCCTGGAGGCCAGATCAGGTATGGATCACTGTCTTTAAAGGACATTAGTGAACCAGATGGATTTTTCAATGAAGTGGAATTTAAATTCCACTATCTGCTATGGCAGAATTCAGACCTGGGTCATTGTCACTAAACTAAGTGATCCAGTGCCACTTACACCATCACCTCCCCCATGGATCGGAGTGCCGGTTTTCTAAATTCTCAGCACTAACCTGCTAAGCAATTTTAATGATCGCCTTCATAAATTGAAGGTGACAGGTAGTATTTGAAACATATATTCTTTTGTATAATAACTGTTGAATTATTGATGGTTTGCAATGTCTCATTCTTTTTATTGCACTTCCAGACTGTCTGTCTAGCTACAGCAGCTGGAAACATTTTGTTTTTGTTGCTTAATAGATCAAAGTCAGGCAATTGCAGCACAGCCCTTGATCTGGTTGAAACATACCAGTGTTCGTTTTAAATAATGAAATGGAGAAATTGCAGCACACAACTCACTGAGCCGCAAGTAGTTTAAATCAATATCTGATTAAATGGCCTTTCCCCTATATCTGGTGAGGTCAGCTCCTGCCCTTAAGGCCTGGTATGAAATGACTTGCGCACAGACCATCTAGTTGTGCCAATTATACAGTGGGAGTCCAGCAATTTCTCCAGCATCCTCCTTGAACACAGGTATCTTCAATTTTCCTTAGGATGCAGCAAGAGCAGTAGTCAGAAGTCCGCACTCCACATACAGCTGCATGAGCAACTTCAACTTCTATTTCAGCAGCACTGATGCGCTCTCTGTCCTGTCTTTCTCTGCATTTTAATTTTGTCCTTTGACTCCTCTGTGCTTTAATAAAAGTGTTTCTTTAGTGTTAAGAACGATAAATTCCAGCAACTCACAGGAATCTACACCCCTCTAGCTGTCCGTCCCATCCCTCCTCCCCCATCCCTTACTTCCCCCTCATTCATGACCTTTCCCTGTCTAACATTTGATCTGTCATAAGCAAAGAACTCTACTTTTTATCTCCTTGCATCTCTACCATAATGAAGTTTGAGTTTAACATGACATTCCCATTTGATGAGAAACTGTTCTTGTGCTCAGTGAACATCCCCAATGTTTAACCTTCACCCGGGTCCCTCAATCTGGCTGAACTTTCATGGAGAGATGTTGGAATGATATTGCAATCCTCAATTTCTCTGCTCCCTTCACACTCTCACCTGTCTCACTCTGAACAAAGTGCATTCCATTCTCTGAGTTGGAACCAAACATTTTTGTAATTAAGTCTGACAATTGAAAGCTACTGTTATTTTGACTGACCTCTACTTGGCAAAGGCATGAACACTAATTCTGACACTTTCTTTCTTAATTTCCCCAGACCAGTGTCCTAGTCCTAAGTGTCAAATTGTTGCTTCCTGGAGAGTCACTAATCTTACCCTGTCAGTTGATTTTCCCTCTATGGCTTCCCACCTCAACCCTGTACAACTTAAGTTGTACCTCCTTGTTGCGATCACTAGACAAGACTGTTCTGCTTCACCTATCCCTTTAGCTTATGCCTGTTTGACTGAACTGAAGTCTTCCTACCTTTCTTCCTTTTTTTCCTCCCTTTGTCCAATCTTCCAAGCTTTTGTGCTCTTCTCTCCTCCCCCACTCCCCAACTTACATCTGTTACTCTTCTGATGCCCTCCATCACTTTAAAAGTTGCCAGTGTCATGTCCCCAAGTTCCACCTCTTTATCATGGATGTCCAATCTCTCTATATCTCTGTCCCCTGTCAAAGTTACCTGGGAAGGCTATCCTCTTCATTAAGTGGCGGTCTGTTTCTGTCGACAACTCTCCTCTGCTTTTCTGGGCTTGCTCTCTTTTTGAACCATTTCTCTTTTGATTCAACTCACTTCTTCCAAGTGTTTTTGTGGGTGCCCTTATGGGTCCTAGCTATGTTTGTCTTTTTATTGGGCTGTATGGAGCATTCCTTGTTCTAGTTTTACTTGCTTCTGTTCTGAGCTCTCGGTCTTCAGTGCGTTCTTGACTTTATTGCCTTGAATTGGAACATTTTGCTTTCAAATTCCACCCTCCCTCAGTTTCTCATGGGCCATCTTCACCTCTCCTTGGCATCTCTGACTCCTTTTCCCATGATTCATGTATCATTAGTTATGTAGCCCACTGACTCCCACAGTCACCTTGAATATACTGCCTCGTAAATACATGGTAAGGCTTCTATTCTACTGAGTTCCTCCAACTCAGTTACAACTATTCTGATGATACATCCGTACACACCTTTTCGGAGAATGCCATCTTTTATCTTCAGCCGAGGGATCTCGCCCTCCATCCAACCACCAGGGTTGCTGTATTCCTCAGTTGTGTCCACCACGTTTCCTGCATCTTTGCTCCCTTCTCTCTCTCAACCATTGTGATTTCCCCTTCTTTCCTTTCCACTGCCCGTCTCCATATCAACAGGTCAGTTTCCAATCTTCAGCATAATGCAACCACCATGCACAATGTCCTTCTGCCTTCCCTTTTCAGAACTCCAAAGGGGCTTTTCCACAGGACTTTTCCCTTTGAGGAGGAGATCAGCATAATCAGTTCTTCCTACAGCATCTTTCTATGCAATTGTACAGGAATGTAACACTTGCTGTTTACTTCCACCATTCAAGGTCCCCAGTACTCCTTTCAAATGAAGCAGTGATTTACCTGTATTTACAATCTAATCTCTTGAATCCACTGCTCACAATGTGATCTCTTCTACATTGGAAAAACCAAATGCTGACTGGCTGACTGTTCGTGATCCATGGATCAGTCTACATGCATGACCCCAAGCCTCTAGTGATCTGATCTTTCAGTTTTCCATCTTGTTCTGATATTGACATCTCTGCTGTCCTGCGAAGCCCCCAATAAACTTGAGGCACAGCACCTTCCTTTTTCGACTATGGTTTTTACAGCCCCCTGGACTCCGGTTTCAGAGCATAAACTCGGTTTTCCTTCCTTTCGTTTCATTTCCTTTTGCATGCTTCAGTTTTTTGTGTTTTATTTTGGTTTCAGTTATAGTGCTCCTGTTTGATGCACATTTCTTGTTTCTTTGTTTATCTTCTTACCCATCAAAGCTTTATCACTGACTCTCGTGTCCTCCACCCTATCACAGACCTACCTTTGACTTTGTCACGCCCACTCCTTGCTGAAAACATTACGTAGTTAACTTTTCGGAGTTCTGATGCAAGAAAGGTCATTGACCTAAAATGCCTGTTTTTTTGTTTCTCCTGTTGGTGTTGGTTGAGTATTTCAATATTTCTTTTTTTTTGTTTCAGATTTCCAGCTTCTGCAGTAATCTGCTTTTCAACTAACCTCTTTGAATTCCAAGCTGAAAAATGTCTCATTTCCAATAGGAATTGTCGATTTAAAGTTTTAAAAATATTAGAGTGTGTGGGGAATGAGGAATTGTTAGTGCAGTCAGCAGATGCATCTGATGTGGGGAGAAGGTTGGGATGTTCTCAAATGCAATGTAGAATAGTTTTGTTGCGTGCATTACTCTGCATCTAAATGCTAAATCTGAATTCGCAGCACACTTGCTACTTTTTCAATTTTTAGCCTTTCTTTGGTGTAGTAATCACAAGGAGCTCAGTCCATCTCTTAGCCAACACTGCCAAATCACAACCGAGTTACCTTGAAATTGTAGGTATTCTTTAACCATTGCAATCATAACACAGTCTCAATAAGTTTGGATTGTCTTGCAGATTCTATCCATTTGTAGCAGCCATTTTATTTCAGACCTCTGTAGAATCTACAAAATAAATGTTTACTTCAAACTTTTCCTCACATTCTAAAACTTTGGAAGGTAAAATGAGCAATGGACATGTGCACTGACTGGAATGAGTGTGGATAAATAGATGCAGAGCGGCTGGGGATGCAAATATTTAATGTTTTGAAAACTCAGCAAGAGAATAGATAAAATGAAAATACCTGGTAGAACTTCTGCACGTAAGGGTGTAGAGTGCTAAAGCCACCAAACCTTTCAAATATAGTCCCCAAAAGATATTGAATGAAAGGTATCTAGGAGCTTTGAAATGTGTTTTAATCAAGCCATCATAGTAGGGAAGGAGAAAAAATAATTAAGGAATATATTTAACATCCTGCTGATCACGTTCAATTTTTGTGTCATTCTGCTTGAACTATTAAGAACTTTACACTACACTGATTTTTTTTTTTAATATTTAATCATGAGGTGTGGCTGTCACTGGTTAAGACCAGCATCTCTAATTGAAGCCTAATTGCCTGGATGGTGCTAAGCTACTGCTTTGAACTGCTGCAGCTGAGCCTTTCTGTAGGACTTGGTACAACTGGCTTACCGGCCTCTTCAGACAGCTTTAAGAATGCTGTGGGTCTGGAGTTTTCTGTAGCACAGTCCAGATAAGGGTGGCAGATTTCATTCCATAAAGAACATTAGGGAATGAGAAGGGTTTTTACAGCACTTACGTTACCATAACTGAGACTAGCTTTCAGTTACTTTTATTTAAATTCAATTTATTCATTAAAGTGTCTCCAACTGCTGTGGTGGAATTTGAGTCCCTGTCCTAAAAGCATTAGCTGGACCTCTGAACCATTAACCCAGCAATATTAATTATTTGCCACTACCACTATTATTTGCCTGTAACTTTGTGGCATCTTTGAAGATGAAAGCATTCTGTAAGCTGGCGTGAAGTGATTTGTCTCTTCCATTATTTACAGAAACATCCTGATTTCCCCAAGAAGCCCCTCACACCTTATTTTCGATTCTTTATGGAGAAAAGGGCAAAATATGCAAAGCTTCACCCTGAAATGAGCAACTTGGATCTGACTAAAATTCTCTCCAAGAAATATAAGGAGCTGCCAGAAAAGAAAAAGGTTAGTGTAGGCCTGTGTGCCAACATTGGTGCTTAAATTGAGAGAGAAATTTCAAATATGTTGCTATTAAGAATAGAAATGCAAGCCAAAATATGTTTGAACACAGTTATCTCCTTGGATGCAAATATTCTTTTCTTGTTGCTGTAGATGAAATATATTCAGGAGTTTCAGAAGGAAAAAGAAGATTTTGAGCGTAATATGGTCAGATTCAGGTAACTTCCAAATAATTGAATTTGTGCATTTACATTTTGAGTTTCACCTTTCATCCGTCTCTTTAACATTTTTTGAAAACTGCAAAGCTTAAGGTTCCATTCAGTTCATTTGCCTTTACAGTAGGCTCAGCTCTGTATGTGACAGGTTAAATACATGTTTTATAAGGTATTAAATGGAGTAGAGAATGGGCAAGACATTAAAATCCATGCCAATAGGATGGATATTGATTGGGAAGGTGGCGAGGGTAGAAAGGGTACAAGATAAAATTGAACTGAACCATTTACCAGAGGTTCGGATAACCATGTTGATGTAAAATTAATGGATGGGATGAAGTGGTGGCTCCTGACATTAGAACCTGGAGCTGTTTTAATCAAAATTAATTCACCACTTGACCCTGAGATTTGACTTGAGATATGCATATGTGTAGTTTTAGCTCATCAAATTGTAAGGCGTAGTGTCAGCTATGTTGGCTGCTGCATTTCTTTTTTGCTGTTCCACAGAGAGGACCATCCAGAACTGTTGGAGAGTGTGAAGAGAACAGATGCTCCAGAGAAACCTAAAACGCCCCAACAACTCTGGTATCTTCATGAGAAGAAGGCTTTCATGAAGCTGCATCCACAGGTAACGGACTTGATTATTCTCTTTCCAACCTGCTAGTTGGAAATGAATAATTAGGTACTTTTTCTATAAAGCACAGATTTCCTATCCTTCAGTCTTGCTTCCTGTGGTAGTCTCGTGATCGTGGTTTTGTTAATCTCAGCACCAGTTATCTCTCTGTAATGAGAGAGCAGCCCTATGGTCTGGTAGGACTATAGTGAATTAACAATAGTTATCAATTCAATTTTGCTGTGTAGACAATCAATTTTTCAAATGTCTTTTGTGGATATTTGCTTAATTCCTGTTAAAAACTCAGACACCCCTTTGCTTAAAGGACTTGGGCATCTGTGACTCTCACATGAAGAAAACACTTGCTTATCAGTGCCAACCAAATACTAAGGTCACCCCATATCAACAAGAAATGGGGTGGGGGCGATGTGATGATGGTGGATTATCTGATTTAGTGCAATGTAAATTGTTGGCTTGCTGCTAATCCCTCACACTTTTTTTCTCTTCTGCACCAGCCTCCCCTTTGCATTTTATTAATCCTGCTGAAGTGTTGCTGTGTGCGCGCGCACAGTATTCCAAGATTAAGTACAATTGCTCCCCATTTTGGCAAATTCAAGAACACTCCAAACCAGTTCTCTGTCCAGCCTCCTTTGATTTTATAGGCTGTAGTGGTGCTGCATGATGAGCAAATGTTCCTCAAATGCTTCTCAAACATTTACTAGTTTTCAGTTTTACTTTTCCCTCTGTGTTCCTTATTGCTACTGAATTGACAGTTTTGAAAAATGACCGTTGCTCATCTTTTTGAGTCTCTGCATCTGGTAAGGCACTTGAAATCCTTGCATCAGAATCACTGAGTCAAGTGGTGGATGCAGGGGTTGATGTTGATGTTGATAGTGCTCATTAATCAATGGCACTTGTGCCTTGTTTGTAGTAAAGATCCTAAAGCAGTTCTGTGGATTTCGTGGGACACAACTGGGGTATTCAGAAGCTTGTAACTTGAGCTAACTGCTGATGTCAGTTAAGCTGAAGAAAGATTTGACTCAAACTTTTGTAATGTCACTTTCTTGGGTGTTAGGAGACATTCAGTTGATTTTTTTTTTAAGTTCTATTACCCTCAGCATCCAAGACATTCAGTTGATAATGGAAGGGGCATGATTCAAACTGAATATATCCTTGGGCAATTTTGGGTAAATGTTTTGCACCTTAATACCTTCTAGAGAATTTAAAGTTGTATCAGCAATTTTTGAGGATATTTCATCTCATACTGCAGCAGATTTGTTCAACTAATCTGATCCACGCTATTTCGCTTTCAACTAGACTCTTAAATTGTTTTCATAGCAGTGGTTCTTACCAGCACTGCTTAGCTCCCCATAGCAATACATCTTGAAGCCAACTATGCATTCTGATGATATGAACAGAAAATCAGGGTCAGACAACAGCTCCTAAGAGGGAAACATATTTAATGATTCAGGCCTTTGTTTATCAGGAGGCCTTTTTATGTTTTATGTCTGTTATCTGCCTGAATACCTTGCTAATGGCACATTTAATGTGAGCATCATAGAATCCCTACAGTGTGGAAACAGGCCATTTGGCCCAACAAGTCCACAGTGAAGACATCCCACCCTGACTCATTCCCCTACCCCTGCATTTCCCCATGTCCAACCCACCTAATCTACACATCCCTGAACACTATGGGCAATTTGGCATGGACAATCCACATAGCCTGCACATCTTTGGACTGTGGGAGGAAACCAGAGCACCTGGAGAAAACCCACACAGACACGGGGAGAATGTGCAAACTCCGCACAGACAGCCACCCAAGGGTGGAATTGAACCCGGGTCCCTGGCTCTGTGAGGCAGCATTGCTAACCACTGAGCCACCGTGCCGCCATATTTGATGATTAATGAATGACGTTTGATGTCGACTTTTGATAAATGGCCACACTGACTTTAAAGTTTGAATCATTCCCCTGAACGTTGACTTGCTGTGGGAATACAATAATTATGGTTCAGTCGCGTATTAATTGACCACTGCAACAAGAATGACAACCAGTCCAAATCATGATTGCTAAAAATCAAGTTGTGTTGTGAAAGTTAGTCGAATGGTCTATCTGAGGTTAGAAACCGTGTATCAGTAAAACTGGTTTGTTTTCCCAGGCAACTATGAAGGATGTTAAAGAGGCACTGGGGAAGCAGTGGTCCCAGCTATCTGACAAGAAACGACTCAAATGGATTGGCAAAAGCTTGGAACAGCGTGAGCTGTATGAGGCAAGTAGATACTAACTTACGGCCATGTTGCCCGGCTCATAAACCTACCGCCTTAATTATGTAAGGTGGTCTGATGAGGATGGGTCTGTTTGAAAGATCTTTTTGCAGCTTTCACTAAAGGCTTGTTCTTGTGGTTTAATACAGAGGAGACAGTCTAGCTGCAACATAATTGTGTGAGAAATGCAGAGGCCCAGGCTAATGCCGTAGAGAGAAGACTACAAGGTGCCCTCCATGTTGGAATTTAAATAATTTAATTCAATCTGTCCTTTAGTACTTGCCTGTCTGATCGAGATGTGGGTCTCCACTGCGTGAGATTCCTCCTGATGGAACACGCAAGTATCTCTGAACGGTCTGGCAAGGCTATTCTGTTCGAGAGCACTCGAGGTGGGTGTCAGATATTGGCCTTGTCCGTGTCAGCCTCATCCTGTGAAATAAATAAACAAAAGAAAAGGATAAGATTTTAATGATAATTGAATGCCCAAACAGCCATAATTTAGTGCATGTTGTATCTGAACTTTATGGTTCTGTTGTCCAGTCTAATTGGAGTAGAGTGTTCCATGCTTAGGCAAGGTGTTTTGGGAAGGAAAATTAGGCAGGTGACTGCTCTGGGCCACTGTTCCACACTTTACTGATTAGAAGCCCATCAATACCTGTTTGTGTTTCCCCTTTTAGTTGTAGAATAGTCCAAGCAGTGTGGAATGAGCTGGCTATCTAGCATGGTTGCTGTATGAAATTCATAAAAGGAATATTAGAAGCCCAGATTACACAGGATAGACCTTGTATATTGAATACAAACTAAATTTGCTGTTGGAAATCAATCATTTATTATGTTCCTTTATTGCGATTCACAAAGCTGGGCTGTAGTCGGGGAAAGAATGGCGCAAGTTTAACTTGATTGTTAGAGAAATGAGAGGGAACTCTCGAGCCTTTTATAAGTAGTTAATCAAGTGAGAGATGGCATTGGTTAAGGATCGAAGAAGAAATCATCTTGTGCAGAATAAGACATAGCAAAGCTGCCTAATGTGTAAAAAGCAAAGTACTGAGATGCTGGAAATCTGAAAAATAAGTGTTGGAGGAACTCGGCATGTCTGTCAGCATCTGTTCTGAAGGAGAGTGATATTGGACTCAAAATATTAACACCGTTTCTCTCTCCACAGATCTTGCAGGTCAGTCAGTCTAATGTTGATAGGGGAATGTAGACCCCAGAATCCGTGCCTCATCTGTTGTCTCTTGGGTGAAAGGGGCTTAATGACTGCCTACATGGGTTTAAGGAAGATTGTGTCTGACTAGCTTGATTTGACAACTTCAATTCAATACTGAAGAGGGTTGATGAAGGTAGTGCTGTTGATGTTAGATCTGTCTACTTCCAAATTGTTGTTTGATTTAAAAGTGCCACATTATAGATATGTCAGCAAAGTTTAAAGGATTAAAGAAAAGGAGGATGGGAAACTGGGTGCGTGACATAACAGAAGTGTACTAATGAACTAATAATTGAAACTGCTGGAAATATTGAAAACGGGTGGTATCTGTGGAGCGTGAAATGGTTCTTGTTTCAGTTCACTTCGGGAGATACAGTTTCAAAGTTTGCAGATGACAACTTGGAAATGTAGTAAACAGTAAGGAAAATAGCAAACTTCAGGAAGGAATAAATGACAGGTGGCAAATGAGGCTTGATGCAGAGAAGTGCAAAGTTTAGTAAAAAGCTTCATGTAGGAATGTCATTGACCAGAAGAATGAAGTTTAAAATGATTGACTGAAGTCTGAGGAAGATGAGACTTTTGCTTCCCTCGGAAGAATGACGGTCTGAAAGGACGGTAGAAGTTGTAATTTAGGAAATTAGGTCTTTACTTAAAATAGGTAACTTTGGAGGCCTGTGGTGGTGGTTGGGGCAGAGAGAAAACAGTGCATTTGGGCTGATGATCTCTTTCAAGAACCTGGCAAAGGTGACCTACAGCATGTGGTTCTATCTATTGCAATAGAACGAAACCTTCACTGTCTCAGCAAATGTATACTGAACAGCCATTTGGGTGGATCACAGGAAGGCTATGGAAACCTGCCATAGAAGTGAATTTGAAGCAGAACCCCAATGTTCCAGTGCAGAAAGAGGCTATTTGGCCTATTGTGTCTGCACCAGCTCGCTGTTAAAAATTAGTCTCTTTAAAGAGACTCAATCTGTTTTGTAAATAATACTAATTTTGGACTGGTACATGGATGGGATAGATATGAAGGGATATGTGCCAAACTTGGGCAAATGGGACAAGTTTAATTGTGAAAACTGGGCAGGGTGGACAGTTGGGCCAAAGGGCCTGTTTCCATGCTGTAGACCTCTATGACTCTGACTAATACTGAAGAGTTACAGGCAGTGCTCCAGATCTATTGGGTGAGGGGAAATAGTGACATGGAATTACTGAATAAATTTCAACATGGACTACCTTCTGTTCGCAGGAAGCGATGAGAGATTACGTTATACGTCACCCAGAGCAAAGTATCAATCTGGATGATTTGACCAAAAATACTCTGACTAAAGCTGAGCGACAGCTCAAGGACAAGTTTGATGGTCGACCCACAAAGCCACCGCCGTAAGTATCCACCCTAAATGTGTGTGAAGAGAGAGCCTTGATTCCTCTAGGTTTTGAACCCAGTGTTACAGGTGCCTCAAAAAGAGGGTTGAAACCATAGTCGATTTTAAAGTAATTTATTCGGCAGTTTGGATGGTGCATACACTAAAGAAGCAAAAAAGACATACAGCTGGTGAAAATTTGAGAACAATTTACTGGTTCCGGATTTGACGAAAGAATGGAGATGCAGATCTCTGTGGCTATCCCTTTAGGGAGGGTGTTCGCTTTGAATAGAAGAATGGGTGAAGGTGGTCCCTTTCACTGGGAGTAGCTGTCTCTTCTCACATCTCTCTGAGCGACCAAAATGGGAAACATTTCTTCTCCAGCGACCTTCAATCCAAAGAGGACAGAAGAATTCCGTCCTACGCATTCATTTTCCATTTGAATTCTAGTGGTTGCTAGGGTGCAAAAACCTAAAACTTTCCATGTTCCATGGCATTCAAGTCTGGTTGACTTAAATTCTCTGGTGTCAGCTGTGCTTCAGCTCTGAGTCAAAGTTCCAAGTTCAAGTCCCACTCCAGGACCTGAACACAAAAGTCACCTCACTGTGAAGGGAGTACAGCAACCCCCGGAACTGCTATCTTTGGGTGACCTGTTAAATCAAGGCCCCACTTGTCCAATTGGGTGGATGTAAAAGATCCTATGTCAACATTTTGATGCGCAGCAGGAGAGTTTTCCCAAATGTTCGGTTAAATGTTTATTCCTCAATCAACATCCACAAACACGTTTGTCTGGTTACAATCATATATTGCTGTTTGCCACATGTTCTAAATTACAGCACTGACTACATTTCAAAAGCTTGTCATTGTCCGCAAAATACTTTGCGAGGTTTGATCGTGAAAGCATCTGTCCTTTTTACCCCTCCTAACTCGTGGATCCCTGTAACATTCTTGTGAATCTGCACTGTGCACTTAGTGAAGCCAATATAAACTTTAAGGTATGGTGCTCAGAACTACACACAGCACTCCAGATGTATTCTTACCAGGGCTTCTCACAGCTGTAGTAAAATCTGACCCCCTAATTATAACAGCAAACATTCCGTTAGCCTCCTTGACTTCTTTTCTACCTGACTACGTTTTCAGATCTGTACGTGGAAGTGTCCAGCCCGAAATCTCTTTGGAGCTCCACTTTTCCTAATGGGATCTGTCCTGTTGCGGTCTAAAATGACCGTGCTGTTGTCGTGTCTGCACTGGAATCCATCTGCCACAGTCTTGCTCGCTGGCTTCATCTATCAATCAACAGTTTTATTCTCCTGTCTACATTGCTCATCATACAACCAACCTTTTGTGATATCGGCAAACTTGGGGATAAACTTCCGTTGTGTTTTAATGTGGTAAATAAACATGCTGAGTATTTGAGACCATAACGCAAGTCTTTTTGGGGCAGCAGTAGTCACTTCTTCCCAATTTATTATTCCATCAAGGCTGCATTTGACTGACTGTGGCATCCAGGAGCCCTTGCAAAACTGAAGTCAGTGTGATTCAGAGGGAAAACCCTACTGGTTGGAGTCATACCCGGCACAAAAGATGGTTATGGTTGTTGGAGGTCAGTCATTTCAGCTTCAGAACATCTCTAAGATTTCCTCAAGGTAGTGTCTTAGGCCCAACCATCTTCAGCTGCTTCAGTGACCTTCTCTCCATCATCAGGTCAGAAGCATGGATGCACAATTATCAGTGAACAGTGTTCTGCACCATGTGAGTCAGAAACTGAAGTAGTTCATGTCCAGGGTTGGGCTAACATATGGCAAGTAATATCCATTCCACACAAATGCCAGCAATGACTATTTCCAAGAGAGAAGTTAACCACTGCTCTTTGCCATTCAGTGGCATTACAAACTCTGAATCCACCACCCTCTACATCTTGGGGTTACCATTGATCAGAAACTCAACTGGACGAACCATTTAAACGCAGTGGCTGCAAGGGCAGGTCAGTGGGTAGGAATTCAGCAGCGAGTAACTCACCACCTCACTCCCCAAAGCCCGTCCACCATCTACAAGGCACAAGTCAGGAGTGTGATGGAATACTCCTCAGTTGCTTGGATGAGTGCGGCTCCAAAAACAGTCAAGCTTGATACAATCCGGGACAGAGCAGCCTGCTGGTTTGGTATCACATTCACCAGCATCTGCTCCCTCCATTGCTGATCGTCAGTCACAGCAATTTATATCGTCTGTTAGCCATACTGCAGAAATTCATCCAGGCCCCTTAAGCAGCACCTTCCAAACCTATAAACGCTACTACCTAGAAGGGTAAGGGCATCCAATACATGGGAGCATCACCATGTGCAAGTTCTCCTCCAAGCCACATTCATCCGGACTTGGAAATATATCACCGTTACTTCAATGGCATTGGGTCAAAATGCTAGAACTCCCTCACCATCAGTATCATGGGTGTAACTACGCCAACAGGACTGCAGTGTATCAAGATGGCAGCTCACAACCAACCAACCAACCAACCAACCTCTCAAGGGCAACTAAGGATGGACAATAAAGGTTGACACAGCCAGCGATGCCTGAATCCCAATAGTATTTTTAAAAATCCCTCACACCTCTACTGCCTAACTGCTCTTCTAACCGGTTTGATAAATTTGCCTTCAGTTTCATGAATTTCACCATAGTTAATATCATCCTTGACTGTTATCTTTCACGTTTCCTGTACTTTGCCCTCACCTTGAACTGTGATAAGGTTCCCATGTCCTCACCAGCCTCCCACCAACCTTCGTAACCATGGAATCAATTTCCATCCTCTGCCATGTTCGGCATGATGCTGCCATCAAATGCACCTTCCCCTCCTTTCCCTTTTAAGCATTATGAATGGACGTTTCCCTCAAGTTTTGACCCACTCCTATATTACCCCTCAACATCCCTGTCGCCGTCCTATGGCATCATTCTATGCAAACACGAGATGTAGTACTTGCCTTTTTAGTTCCTCACCATCGAAAGCCCCAAGCACTTGTCCAGATGATGTCATGTATTCGCTGCTTTATGAGATCATGGGGAGGCCACACTCGGTTTGATGTCTGCTTTGCACAAATCCACAAGGATGGCCGTCAGCTTCTTGTGGCCTGTCTTTTTTAATTCTCCACCATCTGGTCATGATGAAATCTCTCTTCTTGGCCTACTGCAGTACAACTTAGGATTGAGCACCAGCCTCTTTGCTCATCTTTACACCATTCAAAAATTGAGATCAGCCATTTGACATCAAAAACAGTAACACATGTTTCTTGTTTCAGTTTTTTTTTGTTGCTTTCACTCAGCAGTGCAGATGCTTTAAGCACATTTGTTTTGCTTCTTTTCTGGCCCCATCACTGTTTCCTTTTCTCTGGGAAGTCTAATTCTTCTGACATTCAGTCTATCACAGACCTATCTTTCTCCTTGTCCAAAACCTAATTCATTTTAACTCTTCCCAGTTCTGATGAAAGATCAAAAACTGGAAGTGTTAATACTGTGTGTCTGCACTGATGCTGCCCAAGATATTTCTAGCACTTTCAGATTGTTTTTTGGGTTTCCAGCATCCGTGGTCTTCTACTTTTCAATAGAATGTTCTCCTGTTTACAACTTCAATTATTTCCTCAAGAAAAGCAATTTTTTATAAATGTGTATTGACTTTCTCTACACCATTCTCAGGCCTATAGGGAAAATCATGTACCCTTGTGATTGGTTTATCCTAAGCTCCTATTCTTAGGCATGTCATCTTGGATCCATCTTAACTCCAAAGCAGTTGAGTTGATGGGTATAACTTCTGGTACCATTACGGAGATGGGAATGTTCTAAACAGCTGCACAAAACAACACCTCATCTCGTTCTCCATTCTGTTTCAGGAATGGCTATTCTCTCTATTGTGCTGAGCTAATGTCCAACATGAAAGATATTCCCAGCACAGAACGTATGGTACTGTGCAGCAAGCAGTGGAAGATGTTGTCTCAGAAAGAGAAGGATGCATATCAGAAACGATGTGAACAAGTAAGAATTTTGGCAATTTAAATGAGAAAGTTCTCTTCCAAGTGTTCAAAACTTTTAACCCTTTTAAATCAAATGTGGTCACTGATGAGTGTTGCTTCATTTTCAGTCGTGTTTTCATTTGCTTCCCATTTGTAATAATTCACTGTTCTAGTGAAATTGGCTTCCGTAGTGATAGTGAAACAAATTTTATACCTCTGTTTGTTGGTTCCTCTCTGTTCAAAGAGCTTCTGAGCTGTTGCGAGGGGGGCTTGTTTTAAAATTGATTGTTTAATGCTGCCTTAACTTGGATTTGCAATAGATTAGGAATAGTTGAGGCTATGAAATTATCAGATGTTGATTCTTTGATTTGTCTTGTTGCCTACCCACAGAAAAAGAAAGAGTACGAAATTAATCTTCATCGGTTTTTGCTGGTAGGTGCCATTCTCTAATTGTCTTATGTCCTGTGACTGTAATTGGAAGGTACCAAGAACCGATTCTAGAGCCTAATCTGTTCTCTTTCAGTGGTGTGATTCAAATGGTAGATTGTGGGCTTGCCCCCTTTCTGTACTTGAGTTATGATTTTTCACTTTGAAAACCATTAAGAATTTTGTCCTATCCTATGGCAGAGCCTCCCTGAGCACGAGCAACAAAGAGTCCTTTCTGAAGAAAAGATGATTGGAATGAACAAAAGAGCTTCAAGCACCTTGAAACAGGGGGGAGTTAAAGGCATCCCATCACCACCTTCAGATGCCTCAAAGGTGTGTGTTCAGTAATTTCCTTGTTTCAATAAGTTGGTTTATGTCGGAGATAAGTATATGAATTTCTCTTTCCAGAATAATGGGAACAATCTTGCACACACGTACTTTTTTTTTTGCACTTTCCATGAATTCAACGATTCTAAAGGTGCAGACATTAAGGTTGTTTCTATTGGTGCGAAAGGAAAATTCACAGTGGTGATTTGAGTGGCACATACTTATAGCAGTGCTGACAACACTGAGTCAATCATTACTCCCATACTGTCCAAAACACCAATGCTTGGTTATAGCCCTAAGAATCCTGCCACTCCTGTGCTATTGAGTGTCAGCAAGTTATGGTATAAGGAATTAACCACCAAACTCGAACGCATCCTTGGCGCCATTTGCAAGCACCCAGGAGTTCAGTTCCGTTTGTGACACTGCTTTAGTTGGTTTGAACTTGATGCCACATTGAATCAGGCTTGATCTTGGATTGTGATTAACTGGTCCCACACCATCAAATGATGCAAATGTTTACAGAACCAGTGAATCACTCTGGTACGCACTCACCGTAAGGATGTTTGTCTAAAATTTGGTAAATAATCTTTTTTTTTTAATTTGGGCTGGAATTGCAGTGTGGTTTTAACATTTTTCTGGAGGCACTCCCTGCAATTTATACAGTTTTTCATGTGGTTGTCAGCATTTTAAATACGGGCTTGATTTGTTTGATCTGTTGAATCTGGTTGCTTCTGACCTATTTTCCATTGCATTAAGTGGATAAAGTTTCACAACTGGCTTCTGTATCTTTGTCTTGTATTTGTTATTGAATTGGCAGCTAATTCCAATGGCTATGTCAGCAGTTCAGAATTTTTTTTGGGAGGGGCATGAATAGAGGAGTAGGGGAAGAATCTGTTGCTATGGATCTTTCATTTTTGGCAGGCTTTAACCTATCGGCTTTTGAAACTCCTCCTGCTCTGGATTTCTGTATTTTTACCTTTTTGTCAGTAGGTCACTTTCAGTGCTTAAGATTCTTTTATCGTGTGAAATCCCTCACTAAATGGCTTCTTTTCCTGTCATGCATAATTTCTCTGAATAGATAGCTAACTGCATTTAGGATGTTCTCTTGTGGGAGGTTTCTGGATATGGCCTACATTGATAATGGGACATGACTGTCAATTCTAGGTGGTGATGCACTGCAGTGTTAGTGTTTAAACTGGATGACCAGCTGCATTAGCTCCTGTGTATAGCTCATCTAAGGGAAGTGTTTGTGGCAAGAATGTGAGTCTTGTAAAGTTTAATTCAGTGTGCAAAGGCTGACCATTGTGCCCTGCATGAGTGCTGGGATCTTTTAGTCATTTACTATCAGACCCCAACACATTTGAAAGAGTTGAAATGTGAAAATGCTCCAAATGATGTCTGTAACTGACACTTGGCTGAGTTTGCCTTTATTATCTGATTGAAAGTCTGCGCTTGCACCTTTTAAGTGTCTTGAAATAGCTTTTTATTATTGGCTTTAACAACATGTATATTGAAAAGCATGTGGATTGTATTGGCTTCTTTTTCAGGTTTTCTGTATTTGATGTGATGCTGCAGATTCTCCGATATGTGTTGTAAAGGAGCTGATCACTCCCACAGAATTCTGTTCTCTGACTTTTCCCTCACCAGCTGTTCTTGTAACATCATACATTCCTTCCTTCGTTTCTGTACACCTGTCATAGCCAGCTTATTGATACTGCTCTTCTCACCTTTGCCCTCTTCCTGCACAAGATTCATGTTCTGATTACTTGAGTAACAGTTTGTGCTGCTGTTTTCTGTCTGAGCCATTTGACTGAGTGTTCATATTTGATTGTCAACTTCCTCACTTGGTATCCTTTCTGACTTGTGTAGTTCGGAGCCTTTAAGTGCAACTTTAAAGTGTGGTTCTTCAAGCTCAAAATTGTCTGTGCATATATATCATTAATATACAATCAACAATATAGAAGATGACATTCTTAATACAGTTTCAGGGAAAGGCCATGAGTTTACAATTTCAACTACAAGCCAGTGATGACGGAGAACATACGGTTATGCATCACTGTTGAGCTTAGAATAAATACTAGAGAAACTCTGCATTCCTGGCAGTGTCCATAAAGTGGAATTTTTTTTACTTTTCCGTTTCCAGATATGTTGTCAGACCTGCTGTGTTTTTTCAGCATTTTCTGTATGTGTATCTGTTTCAGGTGCCCAACATACTCAGTATTTTGCTTTTATGAAAAGAAAATGCTTGCCTGTAGTCTAGAGTTTTCAGTACGGAGGCTTTTCTTTGGTGTTGGCAAATCTCCTCTTCCTACTGTGGACCTATTGCTGGCACTTTGCTGCACTTGCTTTGGCTTAACATGCTTTCCAGCAGCAAGCTCTGCAATGTTTAGGGAGCAGTGTTATCTTTAGCATGGAAATTAGGAGTCTTGTGGAACTGAAGGTTCAATTGGACGTTTCAACGTTGCTACAGATGCTGTCTTCAGTTTGGAGATGATGCCTTCGTCTTCAGGTGTGCGGGGAATCTCTCAGATCGTCTCTGGGGCTTTGTCCTTCTCTGGTGGTGTACACAAAATTCTTCTGGCAATTGTATGTCTTTGGCCCGGGGTGATTGAACAGAATCTTTATGCTGTTTGTTCAGGAATCCCAATTTTAAAACTGCTTTAAAGCTACTTGACAAATGTCTGGCTCTCATCTACATCCCGTAGCTCATAGTATGATGATCCTGGTTATGTAGTCTTCAAACATGTTGGAAAATAATTTCAAAATGGTTATTATAGATACACATTTATTATACTGAGGATAGCTCTTTTCTAGATGCTTTAAAGATGCTTTTAGATGCGCATTTATGAACATCGGTATATATCTCAAGTTCTGGTGTGTGCCGTAGACTGAGGACAGTCTGCTGGTTTGTATTCCATTCCTAAAATTGTGCTTTAGGTACTCTGCGATCTGTATGTCAAATTCTTATCAATGCTATCGTCTTCACATTTGAAAATGCTTAAGGCAAGGGCATCAGGAGCAGGAGGAATGGGAAGTAGTAAGTTTACAGACTGCTGTGTGGTAACTTGGTATATCTTATACCAATCAAATGTCAGTGGATGATACTTGCACCCATTGCTGTTTTTTTTAAAGAAAGGCCATTGGGTGGGACAGCATTCAAGTCCAAATGCGTTTTGTTGGCTTACTGAAAACTGCTACCTTTCATTTATCTGCTATATTTTTGTGAGTGTTATTTTTTGTTTTTCTCACTGCCTTCAATGGTGTTAATTCCAGATTAATGAGATGATGTTATCATGGGTCAGAATGTCTTTTCACTGGCACATCTCCAAGCTTGAGGGAGTGCCTCCATTGATAAGTGGCTAGGAAAATGTTTTAAAAATATCAATCTACTGTAATGGCTGAGAAGTTGCAAGTAATTGGAATGAACTGAGCGCTTCTCTGGTCACCAAGAAGTCTTTGCCTCACTTGTATTATGGTTCAATGTTCAGCTGAAGAAATGTCTGAAGAGCCTGAATAAATAAGTACCCAAACAATTTGGTAAATGTGTGACTTATTTCTGTTGTGTGGTCTCTAATGTACTGAATGATCTTGTCCTTACCCCAACAGTTTGTGTGCTGAAGCGTTGACTGGATATTGTTGTCTTCAAGTGGGAAGGTTATGAAGCCACAGTTGGGAGGGGGTCATTGATCGGTGTATATGTGTGACAATTTGACACTGTGCACTCCATTGTGACAGCGAGTCTGCCTCTCACTGTAGAGTTAAGGCTTTCCAGGATTTGGTTAGGATTTCCACAGCCCAATGTACCTGTCATTTTGGAAGGAATTCCTTTGGGTGTCCAAAGCTTCATGATGTTGCTTGATGTAAAATTCTGTGTTATTTGTTTATTATTTTAAAAAAAGGGTCTCCAGGCAACCGAAGGGAGAGATTGAAAGTGGTTTTGCATAACACTCTCCCGTCTTACAGTGAACTGAGTCAAATTGGCGAGGGGACAAAAGACAACAGGAAATCTTGAAGCTGCACAGAAAATTACTTTTAAGCACTTGGGGGAGGGTCTTAATGCATTCTTATTGTGCATCAGAAGTGGAGGTAAACGTTTGACATCATGGGACCCTTTGCTGA